ACCTCTTTTAATCTCTTTCCCTCATAATATTTGTTCTTATAGAGCATCGAGAATGCACCTGCTTTAGAAGAGTTGCTTCCCCCAAAAGGCATTCCAGATTTCAAGTACAGTGTGGAGGATGATCGAGAAAAAAATGAGGGACACACACTTTCTGCAGAACTTACTAGTAAGGTCAAAGGAAGGCAAAGTGCACGTGAAATAATTGTATGGGTAGAAGAAAGTGTATATCCTGTTCATGGTTTGGAAGTAACCCTCAGCGTAGTTTTACAAACACTTCTTGATATTGGATCCAAGAGTTTCACTCATTTGATCACTGTCTTGGAGAGATACGGGCAAGTCATTTCAAGAATTTGTCCTGATCAGGATAGGCAAGTGATGCTGATAGCAGAAGTGAATTCTTACTGGAAGAACAATGCTCAAATAACAGCCATAGCAATTGATAGAATGATGGGTTACCGTCTTATTTCTAATTTGGCCATTGTGAGATGGGTCTTCTCTCCAGCAAACATTGATCAATTTCATACATCAGATCGCCTATGGGAGGTATATCATCACACTTCTTTATGACTTATTTTCTCCTAATGAGCTGTATGATTTTTCTTTTCCACTAAACGTATGGTTTTTACTCTCCTGCACGAGGATAATGATGTCAATCTAGCAATTTTAATTAGATAATATAGGAGGAACTTCCTTTAAATTACTGGAAAAGAATAAATACCTTTTAATACCAATCAAAATATTTCTTGCTTTAACCTTAGCAAAACAAGATCAACTTGCAACCCCTCTCTTGAAACAAATGGGATGTGAAGATTTAGTATTTTTGCTTTGAGAAGTAATTTCTAATATACACTCTGTAAATGTGTGAATTCCTCTTAATTTAAATGATCCAGTTAAGAGTAGAGAAACCGAGGCTTTGCAGTTATTTATATTTTGATCTGAATAAAAATGATTTTTCAAGCTTAAGCAGTTAGGAAAGCTTTGCTCTCCTAAACTGTAATACCTCTTTTATGTTGTGGCATGTATACCTATTAAGCTGAGAGAGGGAAACCTGTCATTTTGTTTGCCCTTCTCTTGTTTGGCACTTAAAACTTGCTGTGCAGAATTGCTTTTCCTCTCTGTATTCCCTGGATTATTTATTATTATGAACTCTCTTTTAAGTTTAATCTGCCCTTTCTTATTCCCCCATTTCAAACTCTACAGATCCTTAGGAATGCAGTTAGCAAGACATATAATCGTATCTGTGATCTAAGGAAAGAGATTGCATCTCTTAAGAAGGATGTTGCATTAGCCGAAGAAGCTGCAGCAAAGGCCAAAGCAGATTTGGAGGTTGCTGAGTCAAAACTTACACTGGTAGATGGTGAACCTGTTCTTGGTGAAAACCCTTCAAGGACGACTCGTTTGAAATTACAAGCTGAAAAAACAAAGAAAGAGGAGGTATCAGCTCAGGAATCTTTAGAGGCCAAGGAGGCTCTTTTTGCTCGAGCTGTAGATGAAAATGAGGTACGTTTTATAGGATTAACTGTTTTCTATCTTTAGATTATCTCACTGCCGATTTTCTGTACATTATTATATTATAACAAAGTGGATGTTGTCATTTGGGAGTTTTAAAAGTTTTGTGGGAACAAAGAAAAAGAAAAAAAGCTTAGATAGTCTCTTGGTAGATGTAGGAAACTAGGCTATATACTTTGTGGCAAGAAAAAAAAAAAGTACTCAAATTGGAATTAGTGATGATGCCTACTCCCTCCTTTGAGTCTCAGTATATTGTCTTTGAGAATGAGCAAGAGAAAGATACTACTTGCCACTGAATGGCAATGTTTATTACAGTCTGCTCATCAGTTAACCTTATTACTCATGTATTGACTTTCCTTGCGTACGTAGTCTATGAGTTCTTGTGCAATTTATAACATCAATTTCCTTATAACAAATGATGGTTGTAAACTTATGATGGCTCATGTCATTTGACAATAATGCTGCATATTTTTAAAGATTTAGTATATTACTAGTCTTCATGTGCTTTTTCTCTTATAATATTCATGTTTCTATTCATCTGATCTTGACTCAATTCATTAACTCTGTTCCTTATATTGACAACAATTGGCATGTACAGGCACTGTTCCTTTCTCTTTACAAAAGTTTCTCAACTGTATTGAGTGAACGCCTGCCTGATGCATCTAGAGCTGGTACATTGCGGGAATTAAAATCTGTCCCTGCAGATGCCATGGCTGTTGACCCTGAAGAATCGTCAGCAATGGACTTGGACAATGAGAATCGAAGACCTAAAAACAGGTTTCCTCCTTGTGATAACTATCATCTTTTCTTTTACATTTTCGATTTCATGTAATGACATTCAAGTCAATCTGATATTTACTCTGCTTGATCACTTAATGATTGCAGTCAGTTAAATGGTGGAAACCCGAATGATGTTTACAATATAGGTGAAAAAGAGCAATGGTGTTTAACAACTCTGGGCTACGTCAAGGCCTTCTCGAGGCAATATGCTTCTGAGGTAAGCATTGCTTATAGATCTTCTGTTCCCTTGTGATTTTTTTTTTTTTTTTTTTTCATTTCTTGCTTATCTGAGTTTCTGTTTCCTTTTGCTCTCTGCCCAATTGGTAGTGGTACACATAATGTGGCATGTGGCTGTGCATTTGGTCTACAGATTTTTTGCATGACTGACGACATATTCTCATATTTGCTGACATGTCTATTTATCACATCATTTATGTGCCTTTTTTTTAAGTTTATTCTTCAAAATAATTATAATGCCTACATGCTCAAAAAACAAACTAGTTTTGTCTCTGACGAATTCAATGCGTTTGCATTTGGTAGATATGGCCCCATATCGAGAAGCTGGACATGGAGGTTCTAACTGAAGATGTTCATCCTCTTTTCCGCAGAGCCGTTTACTCTGGACTACGTCGCCAATCAACTAAGGCCAGTCTACTAATTCACTGTTGCAAGTTACAAAATTTTAACGGTCTTTTTCTCTAATGTAAATGACGTCAACAGATGAAAGTGAAAGAAAGAATTTTTAGCCGGCAACGTTTTCAGTTAGATCTTTTATTTATCCTTCCATTTCACAACTAATTGAACAATCTGGTGGATTAGTGAACAAAACTAACAATAAGAGCTAAGATCATGATAATTCTGTGGAGAAATATTTTTTTGCTTCTTGTTTTGTTTGGCTGTAAGAATCCAAAATAGCTTTAGTTATAAGGAGCTGAGTCTGCCATTAAGTTGTATAATCGCTGTTGTAGAAGTAGAAACATGATTTATTTTAATTTTTTATCTATATTTTCATAGTTGGTGTACATTACATGTTATCTTACGTCGTAAGATTTACATTCAATGTTTAAAAATCTGGGTTTTTTTTTTCTTCTTATTTTTGTGTTTGATTTTATGGAAATAATTCAATGCAATAGTCTACGGTCAAAATTGGGCGGCAATTGGCCTTATTGTAGTTGGATGAACTCATTTTGTGGAAGACAAATGTTTGTACGGTTTTCGATGCTGAAGGCCAATCCCATTGCCATTTAGCTTATTATTGATCAAATAAATATATATATATATTGATTTTGTTATTAAGGACTTTTAAAAAAAAAAAATTATACAAGTCTGATATTAACGGGTTTTTTCTATTAATAAACAATTTTTTTAATTAAAAGTGTTTTTTTATTAATAAAAGTGAGTGTTTCTTTATTATATAAATAAAATTTATGGGTGCGTTTGGTTTAGTATTTGGATAGGATTTTGGGATAGTATTGGTTATTGGATATGGGAGTATTCGAGGTATTTTAAAAATTTATAAAAAGCCCTTAGGTTTACTAATTTAACTAAAGACCCTAACATGTAAAATGACAAAAACACCCCACCATCTGCAGTGTCAGATTCCGCCACCACCGCCGGAATCTGGCCGGAAAATTTCGTTACAGCACCAGACTTGTCGGATCTGTCCGTAACACGTCGTTATGGCCTTTTCCGGCTAGATCCATGGTGGATCTGGCCGGAAAAGGCCAGATCACGTTTGTTTTGGCCGTCGACGCCGGAAAAGGTCAACGACGGCCAGATCTGGCCTTTTCCGTCAGATCCTGGTGGATCTGGCCGAAAAGGCCACAGCGGTGAACTTCCGGCCATTTCTGGTCGGAAGTTTGGCCGTTGAACAGATTCCGCTATCACCGACGGTGGTTGCCGGAATCTGACAAGTTGGGTTGATGGGGTGTTTTTGTTAATTTTTAAACTTTTTTTTCAGGGGGTATTTAGTGAAATTAATAACTTTATGGGTTAAAATGTAATTAAAAAATAGGGTAATATTTTGAGAATATTGTACCAAACGCTATTTGAAAAATAGGATCCAAGGGATAAAAATATTAAACCAAACGCATACTATGTTTTTTAGCTTAATTAAAAAAAAAAAAAAAAAACTGTTCTCCAATTGATAAAAATCTTAACTATTTTGAGGCCTTGTCATTGTTTTAACTCGGATCGGAGGGCAAACCGTTTTGCTATCCGGGTCACAGTTACCGGTCCACCGTTGGACTGGCCGGTTGGATCGATGATGTAAGTAATATTTTATTTTAAAAAAATTATTATTAACCCTTAAATTTTAATTTACAAAATTCTTCTAAAAAAGTTCAAAGTGGTCTCTGAAATTTTTATTTATTTCAAAAATGCCCAATAAAATCACCAATTAATCCTTAAATTTTTGATATATCCCAAAATACTCCTATAAATTACAAAGTAACTCTCATAATTTAAAATATTTAAACCCCCTGAACCTAAACCGGACCGAGAAGCTGTCGGTTCTCGGTCCAACCGGTCCGACCGCCAGTCCGGTCCGGTTTTAAAACAGAGGCCTTGTAGACTGGATTACAAGATCAAGGATTTTTATAACATATTGGTATGGAATTATTATGGATTAATATTTAATTTTTTATTTGGTATCGGAAATTACACTACTAATTCTGCCCGGCAATGTTACTGGGCCAGCACCAGACCATGAAATGTCAATTAGCTCATGGGTTTTCAACTTTCATACAGAAGAGAGGTAAAGTTCACTTCAGGAATAAAATCACAATCAATAAACATCCCAGTTGACAAGTTGGACTAATCTTTTTCATAGTTTGGTTAATCATGTTTCTTATCTCACTCTTCTAATTTCCTTATAATAAAATTATATCAAAATTTAAAAAAAGATCTTAGTTATATTTTTAATATCTTGGATCAATAAATTATGCTTAGCCCCACTTCAAATAAATTATGTTTAAATTTGAGATTAAAAAATGGTTTAATTAATCTAAATGTAAAATTATAGAGGTTTTTTAGACAGTATTGTCTGATTTAATGTTTTATATCTAAATACTTCATGTCAAACTTTTTATATAATTTTTTTATACAAATTAACTGTTCCATATATATATATCAGTGTTTAAAATATATATTGGTTTATGAAATAATTTAATGTAATTTTATCTCTTAAGATTTTTATATGTATTTGTCTATTAATATAATGTTTTCCATGAGCATATGTATTATCTTCAATTATTTAAAAATATCTAAATTATTCATAATTTGCTTAATTAAATTTGAGAATCCATTTCCAATTTAGAGTAAGAAATTTCCAAAATCTTGGAATGATTTTAATAGTGGGTTTTTCAACTTTCTTAGGACTTTCCTCTTATGCATATATGTCAACTTGGATTTTTTTCATTTATTATTATTATTTTTTAATTGGAAACATTTTAATATATTTGGAAGTATTTTTTAAAAGTGTCCATCTTCTCAAATAATAATAATAATGGTTTTCAAATATATTTCCCAATGTTTCAATGAAAAGTAACTTTATTATTTTTGGAGCGTTTTTTTTTTTTTAACATATAATTTGACATCTTAAATTTTTATTATCGTTTAAAAATGGATAAAAATATTTAATAATCCCTTTTGCGAAAATTTGAGATTCATATTTTCAATCCAAAAAAAAAAATTATCCCAATTCTTGGATCAATTACTATTCCCTCCTTTAAAAAATATTTCTACTTTTTTATTTTTGTTTTCAAATATTTTTTATGCTATGTTTTTGTATTCAAATCCATTCCTTTCTCACATAGAGAGAAAAAAAAAGCGAGTCAAAAAAAATTTTTTATTCACATTTTTTTTGGGTCGCCAACGCTCAAGTTCCAAACTTCTTCTTCTTTTCTTCGCACGTCTAACAAATCAAACGGAGCCCTTTCTGCAACTCCCTAACCTTCCCTTTTGACTCATTTTCGTACGGATCCTTTCTAGGGTTTTTCATTTTTTCATGAAAAACCCCAATTCAATTTGTGAGGTTTATTGGCAGAACTCTCAGAAAGAGTTTCAAGGATTTGGGGTTTTCACAGCACTTACAATCATACGACGAGTCGTCCAAATACTTCGAGATCGTCTACGAAGATGGTTCGGAGGAGCTTGATTTCTCGAGGTGGTTTCGTTGTTGGAGAACGATAAGTGAAGTTCTGAAGAAGTTGGTGCACGTGAAGCCGTCACGTGGGGGTCGGAAGCCGAGAAGCGACGTCGGATGGAAGGAAGCGTGGCGAGTCAGGTAAGAGTGATGAAACCCTAGGGAAAGTTGATTTAAATGATGGGTTTGTGGATTTGAATTTAAATAATGGTGATTTGAATTTGAATGAAGAAGTTATGGGGAAATTTAAAGAGGAATGTGGGTTTGAGAATGGGAACATGATTGTGGATGTTGAGATCAAAGATGGGCTTGGGTTTGATTTGAATGCTGGGTTTAATTTTAAGTTGAATGGAGGGGAAGGTTTTAATTTGAATTTGAATGATGAGGGTTTGGAGGAGAATATGGGTTCGGTGAAGAAGGAGAGGGAGTATATTGATTTGAATTTGGATGTGAATGGAGAGATGGAGGAGAGTTTGGAGGTTGTGGAGACTCGGAAGAAAGAGTGTGGTTTTGATTTGAATTTGGGTGTTGATGATGAAGTTGAAGATGATAGTGATGGTGATTGTGTGGGGAAAGTGAAGGAATCGGTTTTGTTGGAGAGTGTGGAAGAGTTAAAAGAAGTTCGTGTGACTCAAGATTTTAGTTATGGATTGGTTGGTGGAATTCGGAGGGAAACCAGTATGTCGGTTGATGATTTTACGGCACGAGATGGTTGTAACGGAGTTCAGTTGAAGGATGAGTCTGTTATTCCTGCTGCTACTGAAATTGATGGGTGCCAAGGTGAAATGGGAAGTTCGCGAATGCAAGGGACTGGTAGAAGAAAAAGAAGAAGAGTTATAGATAATTTGAATTCATCAACTGAACCAGTGTTGAGAAGAAGTACACGTAGAGGGTCTGCCAAAAACAATGTTCTGAGCTCATCAACAACTTGTGATTTTAGTGATTTATCATCTACTGCTGCTGGTGCGTCAATGATGGAGGAGTTGCCAGTTACTCTGGCTGCCGAAAGGTTTGATGAACCTGCGGTTCTCCCTCCAAAGTTGCAATTACCCCCTTCTTCCCAGAATTTGGATTTAGATGGAATTCTTGTACTCGATGTTTTTTCTATTTATTCCTGTTTGAGATCATTTAGTACTTTATTATTTTTAAGCCCCTTTGAGTTGGATGATTTTGTGGCTGCACTGAAATGCAGCTCCCCGAGTTTGTTATTTGATTGCATTCATGTTTCGATTTTGCGTATGCTGAGGAAGCATTTGGAGCACCTTTCAAATGAAGGTTTTGAATCCGCTTCTAGTTGCTTGAGGTATTAATTATGTTTTGCATGCATGTTCTGCTTGCTTAAAGTCATTTTGGTTTGATGTTTAAGTACTCTTTTATCATTGCTTCATAATATATATTTTTTTTGCCGATTATTTGATGTAGGAGTCTTAACTGGAATTTGCTGGATTTGATTACTTGGCCTGTTTTTATGGTTGAATACTTCCTGATTCATGATTCAGTAGTGAAACCTAGTTTTGATCTTACTCGCTTGAAGCTATTTAAAAGTGACTATTACAGACAACCAGTGTCTGTAAAAGTTGAGATGCTTCGGTGTCTATGTGATGATATGATTGAGATGGAAGCCATAAGAATGGAGCTTAGCAGACGATCATCAGGGGCTGAGCCTGACTTGGAGTTTGATCGAAATATAAACAATGAGTTTGGCAAGAAGAGGAGGGTTGCGATGGATATGTCTGGTGGCTCTTGCTTGACAGAGGAGATAATTGAAGATGCCAATGACTGGAATAGTGATGAATGCTGCCTCTGTAAGATGGATGGGAATTTGTTGTGCTGTGATGGTTGTCCTGCTGCATATCATTCGAAGTGTGTAGGTGTTGCCAGTGATCTTTTGCCAGAGGGTGACTGGTTCTGCCCTGAGTGTGCACTAGACAGACATAAGCCTTGGATGAAACCTCGCAGATCACTTAGAGGAGCAGAGCTGTTGGGAGCTGATCCTCAGGGGCGGTTATATTTTAGCAGTTGTGGTTACTTGTTGGTGTAAGTTATTTTTTTTTTTTTCCCAATTTAATATTAATATAGCTGGATAATGAATTATATTTTCTTTGTTATTTGTTAAGATAAGACTGTCAAATTTACCATTTGCCTAAAATTTCATGTAGGGCAAACAAAAAGGTCCATCATCTCCCTTTTTTTACCCAGTGTCTTGTTTCTCTGACATATTAATATAGTTGAAGTTTATTCCATAGTTATTTAAGAAACCAAATGACTTTTGCTTAGTTGGAAGAGTTTTGAGTTTAGATCTTGAGAAATTTTGAATTGCCATCTTGATATTAATAGAAAATGTCGTGTGTATGTGGAATCCTTACATGTGGAGATTCTTTTGTTGATATTGTGTACATGTTGCACTTCATATTTTCTTTTACCTAAATATTTTAAGGACCTTGTGTTTTTGTTATACGATTTTTTTCTTCATGATGTACAATGTTTAACTGTGCATTTGTGCTTACTTCAGAATTACATTTTTTTAATGTGTCATTGTACCTGCAGGTCAGATTCATGTGAGGTAGAATGCACTTTCAATTTCTACCACAGAAATGATCTAAATGTTGTTATTGATGTGCTAAAGTCATCTGAGATCTTTTATGGTGACATAATAAATGCAATATTCAAGCAGTTGGATATTACTGTTGGCTTTAATGGAGTACAGAGTAATTTGGACTCCCTTAACAATGTAAATTCAAGCATGCATACGAAGGCAGAAGCTCCTGATATTAGCATGCCAAATAGCATGCCTTTGGCATCTTCTGAAACTTGTGCAATTATGAGTAAGATTGTTAGAAAGCCAGAAGAAAGTTGTGATGCTGGATATTCTGGTCATCTTGACTCGGATGCTTTTAAATCAGTGAACGTATTGGATTCAGTGACTGCAGCAGAAAGGCCAAATGTAAGTTCGGAAGGATCTGCTGAAACCACCCAACTAAGTTCAGTCATTCAGAATTTTCAGAAGCAAGAGCCTAATTATTCTCATAGAGCTGCTAAATTCTCAAATCAGTCTGACATACCTGGGAAGTCACCACCTCTTGGAGACAGTTCCATGACATCTACTGGTTCAGATGTTAGACAGAAAATTGCATCTCCTGGCAATATTTTATCTGTGATAAACACTAGAAAAGTGGACAGACAAGTGCAATGTGAAATTGCTTACATGAATCACTATAGTTTTGCTCAAACAGCCTCGTCTGTTGCAGAAGAGTTGATGCCTAAGTCATCAAATGAAATCAAAGAAGAGGTTATAAAATCAGAGGAGGAGGTAATTTCGACACAGATGAAGACCATTTTGAAGAAATCGGACAAATTTTGTTGGCCAAATATTCAGAATCTTAATGTAGATACACAGAAAGAAAGATGTGGGTGGTGCTTCTCTTGCAAAGTTCCAACTGATGATATTGATTGCTTGTTTAACATGAATAATGGTAATGTTTTGGGAAGTTTGAAAAGTGAGGTGGTTGGCCTTCAATCAAAGAGGAACAAGAAAGGGCATCTAGTGGATATCATATGTCATATTCTCTCTATCGAAGTTCGGTTGTGTGGGCTTTTAGTAGGTCCCTGGCTGAATCCACATTATACCAAACTTTGGCGTAAAAATGCTTTAAAGGCAGCTGATCTGGCTTCTGTTAAACATTTACTACTTATGGTAATGGGTTTTCCTAAATTTGTAACTTAAAACTTAGGATTTTAGATATTATTTCATGGGATTCAACTTAGCAGTATTAGAAGATTAATGCCACCTTAAATTGAATCAATGATTTAGGAGCATCAGCATAAAATCAGAGCTAACCTATGGCCCCGCTGATATGGTACAATCAAATTAATTTCTATGAAACTTGACAACCTAGTCCAATGCATTACATTTTTAGGATTTTGTCAAATTTCTGTTTGTGGTTGGTTTACAATTTAGTGGATTGATAGTTTTGGATAAATGGTTAATCATGAATACATAATATTTTAAGTGTTTATACTTGGTAGCAGATTAGTTAATTTTGTTATTGAGTTGGGTTGCCCAAATTGTTGGCATTAGCTCAGTGATCCAATTCAGTGGAAACAACTGTGTTTTCCTTGGAATTGTTGTTTAAACAACATCAGTTAAATTTGTAGAAACTATGTTCTGTAGGCAGGCATATCATTGTTGCCTCTTAACTCTGATAATCTTTATTTGTGTTTTTATATCATATGGTTTTTTCCTCTGATACTTGTGCATGTTGTTGTGGCTTTGTACAGTTAGAGTCAAATCTGCATCATCTTGCAGTATCCGCAGAGTGGTTGAAACACGTGGATTCTCTTGCTACGTTAGGTTCAGCTTCTCATATTGTGATTGCTTCATCACGAGCATCAAAGCAGGGAATTGGCAGAAAAAAGGCAAGATTCTTGGATCCTGAGGGTAACCCTTCCTCAAATGGCGCTGGGGGATTGAGCTTATGTTGGTGGAGAGGAGGCAGGGTTTCTTGTCAGCTTTTCAGTTGGAAGGTCTTACCTCACTCCCTGGTTTCCAAGGCTGCTAGACAAGGTCTGCAATTCTTCTTCTTCACCTTGTCTTCAACCTGAGCTGGTGCTGCTTGCACTTTAGTCAACTGAATAAATATTCTGAATTTGTTTGAAGTTTAAAATTCTGCAGCTGGATGCGCCAAAATACCGGGCATATTGTACCCCGAGAGTTCAGATTTTTCAAAAAGAAGCAGAAATGTTGCCTGGAGAGCTGCAGTTGAGTCATCAACCACTGTTGAACAGCTTGCAGTCCAGGTATGATCGCTCAGAATAATTCTTTTTCATCTCCTCTTTGATCCTTATTTCCAGTGGTGATATTCTTCATCTTGATGTTTGAGCATGGAAATCATCTTTTGGAGTTCTTTCTTTGGCATTAGCTTCTTAGAGTTGGACTGTATGTAGGGTTTATAGGGAGCAGGACTAGGAAAGGCAAGCCTTTGCATTCAGATTTTTTTTTTATGTAGCATAGGCAGTGAATATATTTGAAGTAAATTGTAAGCTGTTTTCATCCAACCTTAACTATTTGTACCTTATTTGTCTGCTTTTCCATTTGGACTGCATGGTTTTAGATATGTTGTCTCTATGTTCAGATAGATTTCATCTCTGTTTAAGTTTTGTTTTTTATTTAGGTAGTCACTTCCTGTTGTCTTGGTTTTTCTTTAGCAAGTCTCTTTTCGAACAAAAGAAATGGTAATGGATATAAATGAAGTTCTGGAAAGAAAGAGGCAATATGCCATGCTAATAGTGAATAAATAATTCAAACAGGCAATATTACTTAATATTCATGCTTCCTAAAGTGAATAAATAATTCTCCATTTAGAGATACTAGAGTGGATTAGAAGCCTTCAAGTGATAGTAGATCCCCCAGGTCAAATAGGAAATTGATCTCAGTTAAAAGACCCTGGGCCGGGTATGCAAACAAGCTAAGACAAACACTTGGCTGTCTGAGTCCAGCACAGATAAAATAGTTAAAGAGTTTGAGATTTGCTTTAGCTTGATTGAGCTTGGATAACGAAGCTCAAGTGTGTTTCAATATATGTCAAGAGAGCTTTAAACTCACACTTAGCCCAAAATATTTTTTTTTCCTCTTGAAAAAAATATTGTCTCATAAATCATTACATCTATGTATTATAGATTTACCATAAACAATAGTTAATATAAATGTTTACATATGATGTATTTTATAGTAATTGAATAGATATGATTGCATAGATATAAATTAATACCCGTGGGGTTAACCGAACAGTTAGGCCTGTGGTTTGCTCTTATAAGGTCTGGGGTTTGAGTCTCCTCATGGGCACCTACATGGCCAAAGGCCATTGTTTATTGCTTCCCAAACATTGCAGGGTTTGATGAGAGTTCCAGTTTCGAACTCGGCTTCGTAAAGTGAGGTCGGGGGTTCTCTTGATTATCGAAAAAATTATAAATTAATACATAAATAGGGTACTTGAACTGATGGGCTTGCCCCTGGCAGTTTCAGGTTTTGTTTGTGTTAGTATTTGTTTTTATTTTATTGTCCTTCTCTATTAATCTGTATCCTATATTCAGGTTAGAGAATTTGATTTGAACATCCGATGGGATGACATTGAAAACACTCATCCTCTCTCTATAATGGACAAAGAATTTAAAAAATCAAGTAGGCTGTTCAAGAAGGCTATTATTCGAAGGAAGTGCTTAAAAGAAGGGGAAGGGATAAAATATCTTATTGATTTTGGCAAGAGGAGAAATGTTCCGGACATCGTAGTGAAACATGGATCAATGGTTGAAGAATCATCTAGTGGAAGGAAGAGATATTGGCTGAAGGAATCTTATGTACCCTTGCATCTTCTGAAAAGTTTTGAAGAAAGAAGAATCGCCCGTAAGTCAGCTAAGCTGAAACCTGGGAAACTTTTGGAGGCTAATAGAGCCACAAAGAAGTCCTTGAGAAAACGAGGGTTTTCGTATCTCTTTTCAAAAGCCGAAAAATCTGAGTATTATCAGTGCGGGCACTGCAACAAAGATGTCCTAATCAGGTATTTAGCTAATGTTACACTGCCTTTATTTTGTTTTATTCAAGTGAGTTGCACCAGGATACATCTTTTTTTTTTTTTTTAATATAACTAAAAAATAAAAATAGAAAAAGAATAATAAACAGTGGCATGTTACAGTTAGTTATATTGGAATGAGTATCATTGGTTGCATTCATAAAGAAAAAGGAATGACAACAATTAAATAATTAGTAAATACTGGGCATTTCCTTGAGAGTAGTATTANAAACTTTTGGAGGCTAATAGAGCCACAAAGAAGTCCTTGAGAAAAAGAGGGTTTTCATATCTCTTTTCAAAAGCCGAAAAATCTGAGTATTATCAGTGCGGGCACTGCAACAAAGATGTCCTAATCAGGTATTTAGCTAATGTTACACTGCCTTTATTTTGTTTTATTCAAGTGAGTTGCACCAGGGTACATCTTTTTTTTTTTTTTAATATAACTAAAAAATAAAAATAGAAAAAGAATAATAAACAGTGGCATGTTACAGTTAGTTATATTGGAATGAGTATCACTGGTTGCATTCATGAGGAAAAAGGAATGACAACAATTAAATAATTAGTAAATACTGGGCATTTCCTTGAGAGTAGTAATATAGCTGTGTTGTGTAAGACCTTGATATTAGCCAGTAATGCGACCACATATTTTTTCTATAAAGTATCAATATGGACAATCTCATGTGTAGTTTATAGACTCCACAGTAAACACAAAAATCTTTATGCCAAAGGCCCATTTCTCTCCAGTCATGCTCAACCTTCCCTATCTCTTTTCTTTGTCTTATTAATACATTTCTCTTTCCCTGTATTGACTTAATCTCTTGTTTTTTTCCTTTCTTTCCCTTTTTTTTTTCCTAATTTGGCAGAGAAGCGGTTTGCTGCCAGTTTTGCAAAGGTAAGCTTCTAAGTTACTAAATGTTTCTATTTTGCTCAATCCTATGTTTTGCATAGTTAAAATGGGTTGCTTATAGTCCCATGGTGTTCAGTTTGTGGAGAGAAAGATTCTTCTGCTGTCTTTGTTTTGTATATGGGCACACTTCTCTTTTTCCTGACTATTTCCGAATATTCTTTAATCCTGTTTATATCATAAATTTCTTTCTTATGAAGTGTTTTGCTTTGGAGATGCTCATGATAAATGATCAAGTAGGATTTTTACCTGACTTATTGGCTCTAGAAAGATTTAATGATGGTGTTTGTAAATTTGATGATATTGAGAGGAGGCCAAAAGTACTCTTATAATGAGATTTAATGAAAGGTTGATTTAGGTAGTATTGATGGAAGCCAACCACCAAAAGATAAGGTGTCATTTGAAACAGCTGGAATAAAGTTCTTGTGCAAGTGTTATTTTAAAATATATCATGTTTAGGGATACGATTGTTCTTAAGATTGCCATGGCAATGGTTTTTTCCTTTTTTGTGGTTACTTTATAGGTCTCTGTTCTGTGACAGAATGACCTCACAATCTTTGCCTCTTATTACTCTTTGATGATCAATGATTTTCCTTAACAAAGCACGTTTCTCTTTGCTTGATCTATGTATTTATCTGTCTGGCAGAATCTTGGATGTTGTTATGATTTACTTAATTCTATTTATTTTTAATGGTCGGGCACAATTTAACTCCAGTCAGTGGGGTGAAATTACTTTTCAGAGCTTCCCTATGTAAACATCAATTTGCTTTGTATCTAAGCAGTGACATCTACAGTGTTTTGGGTGTAACAATGTTTTTTCATAGATTCTGTTGTATCGATAACATTCAATTTTAGATGCAAAATGTAATTGCTTTGATTACTTGAAAATTTTGCTTCTCATCCTTTGTGATTTGATTATATGTAGCTGTGTCTGATGTCTTTCATGCACTTCTTTCTTCATGTTAAGTTTGATTTCGGATTATTATGGTCTGTATATCAGGATTCTTCCATAAGAGGCATATCAGAAAGTCTGCTGGGACAGTCACAGCGGAATGTACATATACTTGCTACCGATGCCAAGATGGAAGGTTCATGAAGCCTGGCAAAAAAGCTGCAAAAACTGGCACCAAAAAGGGAAAAGTAAACACAAGAAGTGTGAAAGTTCAGTCTCAAAAAAGTAAAAAGGCAACCACAGATTGCAAGTCAGTGCAACTAAAGAGCCATAAAAAACCAGTGGGCAGGAGACCATTACGATCTAAAAATGATAAACAAATTGCTTCTGTACCACTGCGACGTTCTACTAGAAAAATTAAATTTGTGTCAGTACCAATCAAGAAGCGTGTAGGGCGTAAGAAAGGGAAACAGAAAACTAAAAAGAAGATATCCAGAAAACCAAAGAAGGACCCTTCTTGGCGGAAGCAGAGAACACAGGCCTATTACAGTTACTGGCTCAATGGTCTCCTGTTATCTAGAAAGCCTGACGATGAACGAGTGATGCTATTTAGGAAGAAATTTTTTTTTGATTCTTCTGAAAACTTGACTGATGTCCTTGATAAACCCAAATGCTATCTTTGCTGTGATGCTGGATATACATCTACATCAAATTTTATTGCTTGTGAAATTTGCAGAGGTAATGTATTCTCTATGTTTCTTTCTAGATATTTCTAACCGCTTAACTTTTTTTGAGAGCACTGTCTATCTATTTTTTAGTTTCCTTTCTGGTTTTAAATTTTTTTATAATGTTCCTTTGCACTGGTTCCTCTAATTATGCAGAGTGGTATCATGGGGATGCTTATGGAGTTAATGTGGAGAACATCAATAAGCTTATTGGATTTAGATGTCATGTGTGCCGTAATAGGACTCCTCCTGCTTGTCCTTGTAAGGAACCCTTAGGAAGTGATCGATTGCAACTTGTTGAGGAACAAATTAATAATAAGATGGAATGTTCTGAGGATGTATGTGAACCTGTCCTACCTGAGACTGAGGTGAAATATGACAATCAGTCTCATTCTATTGAAGAACTTCAAGGCTCAGTTCCAGTTGATCAGTGCTTTCATAAAGAAGAGGAATTATGTAGTAGTGTGTTGGAATCTAGGTCGGAAGGAGAAAAAGATCATGCATTTGACAGTTCGGAGTTGAATGTCAATTCAATTGATGTTTCTAACAAGGATTTAAAAGCAGGTGTACTAACATCTAACGAAAATGTTGTGTTAGAAGAAAATACAGTCAGAGTAGTACATGATGACACTGTGATTCATGACCAGGCAGAGCCTAGTTCCTGCAAGGTTGATCTGGATTTGATGGATACTGAATCAACATTGTTACGGCATGATGAGGAAAAGGATGGTTCGGTGAAGACTCCACCCATCCTAAATTCTCCAGTGGATGGAACCCTTTTGGACTCCAAGGAGTTACATTTACAGACTTGTTTGACATCAGAGGAATTGATAGATGAAGGAGAAAAAACAGTGTAGATTAGATTCACAGTTTTATCATTTAATTTGGTGTAGCAAGACTGCCCCTACTGTAGAGGCTAGAGTGATTTGTAAGGCTAGGGTTACTTGTAAATCTTCCTAATATTGTTTAAATCCTTGCAGAATTTTTAGGAGCACCTGGAATGATTCATTTAAACTGAAAAATAAGATCTTATTTGTGACCATAAATCCTTTTGACTTTTTTCATTCCTCTGCTTTTACATCAGTTTAGCAGTTAGAAAATTTGCGAAGAGATGATTTGTGCTTGGGAAGCATATCTGGAGAGTCATTGGACATTCTTGACCAGGTCAGCTGACATCGTATTGTAGTGAAATAGTTATTGATTGTTGTGATGTAGGCATGTCTCATATAAATACTTTTTATTGCCATATTGGTGGTGTTAGTTTTACTTTTTTTTTTCTTCTTTTGGATCCTACCCTTCTCCTGTCTGGGTTTTCAGCTCAGCTCTTTTGTGTGATTGGGCAGGTATGGAGCGGACATGAGGAGTGAAGGCCACTGGGTTGGAAAGGCCAGCGACTTTTACATCTTGATTTGGAAACTTGATTAATGTCTTAAATTCAAGAAGATAATGGAATATTCATCTTCTTGGTTTCTTCATTCTTGGATGTTGTCTTTGGCTAATTTACTTTTTCATTTCATAGAAATTTAATTTGTTATTCATGGTATTTGGAATCTAAACCGTGCGACGTGAAGGACATTGTATGCATAGTGCATAAAACTTTGAGCTGATAATATTACTATTGACATGGCTGAACTCTGAAGTGACTTCATTGTATTTCTGTTGTATGGAATACGATATCAAGTATGCATATCATTTTTTCCTTGTGAATCTTATCATGCAACAGCCCAGTCATGGCTCGCTGCTACATCGACCCAACATTCTTTAGACCAAATGGCATGAGCTTGTAATAGAACATGCCCTCCTCTCTTGGTGATAAAGCTGTTCTCGCCTAAACTTCCTCAGCCATCTTGATTGCCGGACAATTCTTGCGGTGAAAAGGTATTCTCCTTTGCTTCGATAAAGATATCTCTCATCCACATTTTTTTTTTTTAAAGAAGAAACATGTAAATGTCATTAGTTGATTGAAGTAATTACAATAAAGTGGACAAAATATAAATTGCAGGTTATTGAAGGCTTTTTTCTTTTATTTTTGTGGTTCCTTTCGCAGCCTATTCTTGTCCTCCCATTCAGACCATTGCTTTTGAAGCTTAAAGAATAATGATGATGGTCCTTGTGCATTCAATGGTAGAGTTGGAAAAAGTAGACCTAACTTTCCTACCAGCTACAAAATAATTTTTAGGACTGCTCTTTTGTTTTAAATATTATCTTGGGCAATCTGAATTTTCTAGCTAGCCATAAACCAATCCTTGTGGCTAGTATCTTGTATTTTACTTTTGGTTTCTAATGTGTATAATATTTGTTTAAGTTCTCAGCTCATCATCCCATTGTACTTTTGTCTTAACAGGAAGTCATAGCACTCTATTGACCTGCACGGGAACCCAGAAATGGCCAGTAAGGTTCAGATTATGAAAGATTATACAACCAAATCAAAACCAGCTGCAGTTTCTTCTTCTTTCCAAGGCAGTATTCTTGGTTGAGCTTGTATGTTTTCTTATAGTGCCATCGATTGATCTCGGTTAAAAGGCGTTTTATGTCGATCTGATATGCATTATCAAGCATTTACCCCTGTTAATACAGTTTATAACCAAAATCAGAAGCAGTTTCTGCTACTTTCAAATGCAATATTCTTGGTTGAACTTGTATGTTTTCATCTTGTAGTTCCACTGATTGATCTTTGGTTCATACTTCAAAGGTTTTCTCATGTCGATACCATGCATTATCTAGCACTCCCCCATTTATATTCACCGGATTACTTTCTTCTCCTTATTTGTTTATTCTCTATCATGTGATTTATCAGATATTGAATCTTTGATGAGGGGAAAAATTTACGAGATTACTAGCTGCGGAAAATACTCGTAATGCTCGATATACAAACTCATTGTCCATCGATGGATAATGTTGTTAATATTATTGAATTATTTTAGATTGTGAACATGGGAATTGTTGTTTGCTTGCAAAATTGAAGAAGTATATGATTTGTATAGATTGAAAAACCTTACATTAATGTTTGGCTCTACAATAACCAACAAATTAATCAAACCCTTCACAAGAAATATTTATACTAAAAATTTATATTTTAGCATTCGAAATGAAAATTTGTCATTGATTTTCTCTGTTTCGTTATAATTATTATATTTTACTTTTGATCGGTTAAATTAAACACCAAAACTCTAAGGGTCTGCTTGGGAGTATTTTTTTCACTAGTTTTGGGGGGTTTTTTAATTAGACTGGTTTTGAGGTATTTAAAAACCCCCACTTGTCAGATTTTTAATAGGTTGGTTTTGACTGGTTTAAAAAACCTCTCAAAACCAATGTAGTGTATTTTTGAGGAGTTTATAAAACACCTCAAATCGAGGTGTTTTCATTGGTTTAAAACTTTTATCCCCAAAAAACCCCTTTCCACTCCCTTACAAATCTGTCGTGCTGTTCACTTCTCTCTAGCACACAAATCTCTCAAATCTGTCGTTGCTGTTCATTTCTCTCTAGTACACAATTCTCTTGCTGCTGCACACAAATGGTTTTAATTTGTTGCACACAAATCCCTTTGCCGCACACAACTTGTTTGGGTTTGTATTAGATTCTCCTCACTTTCAGCAAATTAGGCGTCAACCAAGAGAATAATTACACGAGATAAGGTGATTTTCCATCTGGGTTCTTGCTTTTTTTATGGATTTGTCAATGTATTTGCATGATTGATCATTCGTCACTTTTGCTTATGTTGAATGTGATTGTCATGATTGGATTTTGATGCCTGTTTATGAGGTGATTCTTTATTTCACTAGCTTTTCTTTGATAATAAGAGGAGATGGTCATGGGTAATGATGTTGATTGATGGACGTTTGGTATTTTCTTGTATGAATTACTGCTTGGTATGACTCCATTTAAAGGTAGTGGAAATCGGGAAACATTATTCAATGTTGGAAGAGTCTGCGGGACTGTGAAGTGTAGGAAAGAAAATATATGTTTTACAATGATTTTGGGTTTGAAGCTGCAGCTCTAGCTGATCGCAAACCCGGGGCCATATTGGGATGAAGTGTAATTACTTATGGCTCACATGTTTTACTTTTGATGTAGGAATTGAATTAATTACAAAGTCAATAAAAGCTGTTTTGTGAAAATTGAATTAAGCTAATGTTTTAAAGTTGAGCCAAAACGTTATCAAGTTCATACTGTGCTGGGGCAAACCATCAATTTTGCAGATACATATTCTTATATATTTCATCAAAATACATTTTAAACTTCAACAAACACGTAATGAGAGAGAGCCTCTTGTTTGATGGGAGAGAAAGAAAATAAAAACAAATAATGTATGCATTATTTGTATTTATCAAAGTTAATTAAGCAAAAGAGAGTGTTTTAACTTTATGGGCATATATGTAAATTTATAATTTTAAAAAACTGTCAGAATCGTTAGAAAATAAACTCCCAATTACAGGTTGGGTGTTTTACAAACCGCTACTAAAAACCTCTCAAAACTATTACGGTGGTTTACCCTCAAAACCGTTACGATAGTTTACTCTCATAACCGTTACCTTGAAACTTCCAAGTAGACCCTAACGGATTAATATACTTTACTTTTGATCCGATAAATTAAGATAAAGGTGGAATTATGAACAATGAGAAGAAATTGTTATTTTAGGTACTAGAGGGGAAAAATGAGTTAACAAATAAATCTCGTAAAATATGATATAATAACAAAAATTATCTGTTGTTAATAAATTGTAAATGAGTTGTTAAAATTTACGCTGACATAAGTTAGTAAATATTATTAAATTATTTTTTTATCGTTGATTTTAACACTTAAAGTAAAAAAACAAAAAGTTTAGGTGTAACGCACGCCCAAGCGATAGCGCGTGGAAGAACAAAAGCAAAATACCATCCTCACCACAAGAACAGTTAAAGCCAAAGAACATCCATAACTGTAACATTACCAGTCCAGAACTCACCGTATCAGATTATGTAGCGGATAAGAATCTCAACTTTCTCTCTCTCTCTCTCTCTCCTCAATGGCATTCTCACAGACGTTTTCTACGCTATCTCCACTCTACTCGGATTCTCTTCTCGTTACTTCACTTAAACCAAACCCACTTCTCTTCTTCTCCTCTTGTTCCTCTTTCAAGCCCCGAAGGTCGTCTCGTCACCGCCCTCTCTCTGTTCTTGCCTCCTCGAATGCCACTCTTGACTCCAAAAACGGCGCCGTTGTTGGTTCTGGTGATGACAGGGGTGACTCCTATGGCCGGCAGTTCTTCCCTTTGGCTGCTGTGGTCGGCCAGGTACTGAACTCTCCCTCTCTGTGGTTTAGAATATCTTTTGGATGAGTGAATTGGGTATGGTGCTTTATAATGCTTTATGGATGTTGGGCATTGTGTCTGTTAAGTGTGGTTTAGTCATTAGTGTGGTGGCTAATGATTTGTTAAGGGTGAAAATGTTTTTTTTTTTTTTTGAGGAGACTTAATGAAGCTGCTGTTAGCTTCGCTAAATGTACTCTTTTCTGCTCAATTAAAGTAGTTCACATAGTGTAATTAAAGAAAAATATGATCTCACTGGTGATAAGTGACCATGACCATGGGGCTTCTGTAAACAGAATTCATCCTTTTTGTGCAGTTGTAATCATTATATATTGTTCTCTCATGCTTTCATATTTTCCTCCCTCCCAACCCAGTAAAAGCCTGAAATAGAACTGGAGATAATTGATAACTCCTTGAGGATAGGTTTTGAGGTGATTAACTCCTTGAGGATAGGTTTTGAGGTGATTTGTTTAAGTCCAAGAATCAGCTTTTCTTATGATGAGAAATTTTTCTTGGTATTAAATACGTCCTTCGGGTTCTATAATGATTTTTTTTTGGTGAAAATTAATGAGAAGGAAACAAATATATGTGGAGCTTTGATCATATGCGCAAGCTCTTAATTCTTTTGATGACAAGTGGCGTTGGCTATGATGGATGTATTTTGTGAATGCAATTGTGTTACAGGATGCTATTAAAACTGCTCTTTTGCTTGGGGCTATTGACCGTGAAATTGGTGGGATAGCCATCTCTGGAAAACGAGGAACAGCCAAGACAGTTATGGCACGTGGGTTACATGCAATTTTACCACCGATTGAAGTAGTTGTTGGCTCAACAGCGAATGTAGATCCTGCCTGCCCAGAAGAGTAAGGCCACCAAATACTTATAGATTGTTTTCCATTTATAGTCTAGATGTTAAGACAGTAAATGGAAGAGAATTTTGTATCAATTTTTCATTCTAACAAATTAAAATTTAGCTACATAAATTGTGCAGCTATAATGAGGGTAGTGATTATAGAAACTTAGCTCACATCACTCATTTGTTGCTATTCCCATGTCAAAATAATTCAAGAATGTATAACCCTTTTCCTTTCATATAATGACTTTTGTTGGTCATCTATTCAAGGTGGGAGGATGGCCTGGCTGAAAAGGTGGAATATGATTCTGCTGGAAACATTAAGACTCAGATTGTTAGATCTCCTTTCGTTCAGGTATATTTTTGTGAAACAAGACCTCTGTATTTAGATCATTTCAATCCTTCAGCTTCCTTATGCCATTTATGCTACAGATTCCGCTTGGAGTTACAGAGGACAGGCTTATTGGATCTGTTGACGTTGAGGAGTCCATAAAAACTGGAACAACTGTTTTCCAGCCCGGCCTCCTGGCTGAAGCTCACAGAGGTGTTTTATATGTCGATGAGATTAATCTGTTAGATGAGGGTATTAGTAATCTGCTTCTTAATGTCTTGACGGAAGGAGTTAATATTGTGGAACGAGAGGGAATCAGCTTTAAACATCCATGCAAGCCACTTTTGATTGCTACCTACAACCCAGAAGAGGGTGCTGTACGTGAACATTTACTAGATCGTATTGCAATTAATTTGAGGTACGGACCTTATATTTTCCTACTGGAATTTGTTTATTTATTTGGTTCTCTTTCGCGTCCCATTAATGTCACACTTCTTCTGCAGCGCAGATCTTCCAATGAGTTTTGAAGATCGTGTTGCAGCTGTTGGGATTGCAACAAAATTTCAGGAAAGCAGTAATGAAGTTTTTAATATGGTTGAAGAGGAGACAGATTTAGCAAAGACTCAGGTAATTATGCCTTGATGATTGCCTGTGGGTGAAATTTTTAATCGTTTAAAAGTGTGTATAATTGGAGTTTAATATTAATATTTGAAATATAGAATAAACGATTGACTACTTGCACATATTTATGCATTGCAGATAATTTTGGCAAGAGAATATTTAAAAGATGTTACTATTGGCAGAGATCAGTTAAAGTACCTGGTTTTCGAAGCCCTTCGAGGTGGTTGCCAGGTGATGGATTGAAACTCTTCATCTCTTTATATGATTTCAGGAGTTTTATTCCCCACTCCCCGGGTTAAATCAAGCCAAACCACTCTGGTCTTTCTGCTCTAAAAATATTCAGACTTCTGCTGCTAGTAGGATCTTTCTGGAATTCTTTGATCACTATATCAAAATTACTTACCACTCAGACTATGATTAATCTCTGGATTTTGTTGTCATCAATGTCACATGTGTACTATTTTGTGGGACATACTTGGCTAAGAGAGCAAATGTTTAGTTAAGAGGTTTCATGGTGATAATTTTAAATATGATATAAGTGATGTGAATTACACTTTATTTGATCAGAAATGTTTATGTATAATAAATATAGTAATAAGATTGAAGTGGAGAAAGACCTTTCTAGTAAAAACCGTAATAAAGATGAAATAGAGTTACTTTGTTTTCATTGGTAAAGATGCACACAATCTTTGCTTTTGACCATGATAACATTTAATCATTACACATTAATGATTCCAGTGTATTTGGAAATTACTAATTATGCAAATTTTGTTGACATTTTAATTTGTTCTTATGATAGGACTGCAATTACTTATCTATTAACTGGCTCTTATGAGTTTCAGGGACATAGAGCAGAGCTTTATGCAGCCAGGGTTGCAAAATGCTTAGCTGCTTTTGAAGGGCGTGACAAAGTTTATGTGGATGACCTCAAAAAAGCTGTAAGTATTCTTCTAAATTATAATGCATAAATGCGTTTCTGTCTTTTGGATATGCAGATGCATTGAAGCTTAATACTTTCGAACAGTCTTCTGTATGAATTAAAATAGAATAAATTTTTTTGTTATTCTGTTTTTGATTGTGGTTGTATTAAATCCACATGCCTTGCATGTGAGGGTGTGTGTTAGAGCTTAAATACTTTTGTTGGGTTATTGCCAATTAAACTTTGGGTGAATGTTTACTTAACAACCACATAATAGTGTAAATGTTACAATCAAACACAGAGTAGGTGAAACCAAGTAATCTGCAGCGTGTTGTTATTATTGTTCACCAACTGCATAGTAACACACAAAGATGGAAAAGGAAATTTAGAGAGATGTTTTGAAACATTATCTACTACAGGTGGAACTGGTCATTCTCCCTCGTTCGATCATTAATGAAACGCCACCAGAACAGCAAGACCAGCAGCCCCCACCACCACCTCCTCCACCACAAAATCAAGATCAAGGGGAAGAACAGGATGAAGAGGAAGATCAGGAGGTTTAGTAAAATGGATCACATTCTACATGATTTAGACTTCATCTTTTACTTTTAAATGAGAAAGGAGTGGCAGTATATGTTTTTTAAAATGTGGTGGTGCACTTTGTCCAGGATGAAAATGATGAAGAGAATGAACAACAGCAGGAACAGATACCTGAAGAATTTATTTTTGATGCAGAAGGGGGTTTGGTAGATGAGAAATTACTTTTCTTTGCACAACAAGCACAGAGACGCCGAGGGAAGGCTGGGAGAGCAAAGAATGTTATATTTTCAGAGGACAGAGGCCGATATATCAAGCCAATGCTCCCAAAGGTTAGCCCTCTAACCTCGCTCCACCTCCCTCTCTTCTCTTAAGTTAGAACTTAAATATTATTGTTGATCCTTACCTACAAACCTGGGATTTACAGTCAAGTGGTCAATCAACATTGTATTAGAGCAAGTTTGACCTAGTGGTCTAGTGCTATAATCCCTTGATTGTTAGTATTCTATGGAAGAAAATCATATTTTTTGCTGCTCTTTGGGTGTCTATTGAAAAAGTTTCCAAAATATCTCATTCTTTAATTTTCTTAACTGGTTAAAGGTTTTGTCTTGATGTCAACTTGCTTTTTTGTGGCTGTCTTGGTTGTTGTGATCTTTCTCTTATTTTTGGGTTTTTCGTAAAGATCTTGCGCTCTTGCTGTGGACATCTGTTCCACCATTGTAAACATTAATTCTCATTATTAATATATTTTTTTCCTATAAAAAAAAAAAAAAAAAAATGTGGAGTCGAAAACTTGATTTTCTTGATGTTGATTTCACTTCATCATTCTGATTAAGCTCCATTATTGTTCACAGGGTCCAGTAAAGAGATTAGCTGTTGATGCGACCCTTAGGGCAGCTGCACCATATCAAAAATTACGTCGTGAGAAGGACACGCAAAAAATTAGGAAAGTTTTTGTTGAGAAAACTGACATGAGGGCAAAAAGAATGGCAAGAAAAGCAGGAGCATTGGTAGGGTTGAGAACTCTTTATCTATCTTTATTTTTTGAAAGAGAAAATATGAAAAAATAATGGAGCTAATTTAAATGCAATAACACGCTTAAAGTTATATATATATCAACTTGGTTGGTGCTTCATAGTTTTATGAACTGTAGTACATTGTTGTGTTGATTTTTTTGTCTTCTATTTTCAGCTGGCATCTCTTGCCTAGAATTTCAAAGTTTTATGTTCATTTGTGTAGTAGACCGGAATCAGATTTTGGACTTATTCAAATTTATTTGATGCTTATGTTTGATTCTGTTTGTTTTATTTATTATGTGGGCACGTGAAGGGAATGCGGTAATTGAATCTAGTAAAAAGTGTAGAAAACTTTTTATGTATTTGTGTTTCTGAATATTTAGTCCTTTGCAGGTGATATTTGTGGTTGATGCAAGTGGGAGCATGGCTCTGAACCGAATGCAAAATGCTAAAGGTGCCGCACTTAAGTTGCTAGCCGAGAGTTATACAAGTAGAGATCAAGTAAGTGCTATGCACATACTTCAATGGCTTGTGTCAAATATGCTGCACATTAATTGGAAGCTGCATGATTTGTATCACAAACTGGGGAACTATTGTTGCTTGCAAAAAAAAGTTAGAATCTGCATGTTTGAAACTTGAAAGTACTATACACATGTTTCTAGAATAAAAGAGTTTTAAATTCTAAAAGATGTATGATCATGTGAAGTTGAGGAAGTATTTAGTTTCTTCCACTTCATTAAATTTTTTTTTTCCCTGGAATATACTATTTCAATAACTTACTTTATTAATTCGATGTGGTACTGCAAAACAAGCAAGCCTCTGAAGCTTGACAGAAGAAGCGAAGCGTCTTTATGATATATTACTGTTTCCACTAATTTCAGCATTTGTTTACTGGCACTACTGTGTAGGTTTCTATTATTCCTTTTCGTGGAGACTCTGCAGAAGTCCTTCTGCCTCCTTCCAGATCAATAGCGATGGCAAGAAAACGTCTTGAGAGACTTCCATGCGGTGGAGGTTCACCCCTTGCTCATGGCTTAACCACGGTGTGTGATTTCAGAATTCTTGAACAAATCTGTTCTTGTGCTTGCTTACCTTTTGTTTTATCATTTTATATTTTTCGTCATTTAATGTATTCCAAGTTCTCAATTTCTCTTTCCTAATTATTCTGTTAACTTTTAAATATGGTAGGCTGTAAGGGTAGGGCTAAACGCAGAGAAGAGTGGTGATGTTGGGCGTATAATGATTGTCGCAATAACTGACGGCAGAGCCAATATATCACTGAAAAGATCCACAGATCCTGAGGCAGCTACTACCGATGCTCCTAGACCTTCAACACAAGAGTTGAAGGTAAATGTTAGAACAATAATTTGACTCCTAGCTTATCAAATATTAACTACAGTGCAGACAAAAAAAAAAAAAAAAAACCTTAATTTCATGATTTTACATGTCTTCTTTTGATGAAGGACGAGATTCTTGAAGTGGCTGGGAAAATATACAAAGCAGGAATGTCCCTCTTAGTTATCGACACAGAAAACAAGTTCGTCTCCACAGGTTTTGCCAAAGAAATCGCGAGAATAGCACAAGGTATGTAATGTGTTTGCTTTAAACATCACTGTTTTTTCTTCATTTACATAAGCTGACTAATACCAAATCTGTTCTGCAGGAAAATATTATTACTTACCGAATGCTTCTGATGCTGTTATTTCAGCTACAACCAAGGATGCTTTATCAGCCTTAAAGAACTCGTGATTTTCAATTTTTTTTCTTTTCTATTGGCCAAACCCCTTGTATAAAATGAGAAAAGAACAGAAAAAAAGAAAAAAAAACGGAGTGAAATCAACCCATTGTGTAACTTCATTGAAATATGTTAGGAGTTTAATTGTGAAATAAAAAATTGAGTTTTGTTTATTTTTCATTGTTCTGCATTTTCTTATTATGTAGTCTCTTGAAAATGTATGTGATGAGCAACCAACAAAGCTGGTGTACCACAGGAAGGGTCATGGTAGGAAGTAGGGGAATATTGTCGAATATTTGTTATGTAGGAAGTTGGGATTTGTTTATAGGAATATTTGTTGGGACACATGGCATGATATGATAGGATGTAAGGTGACAGGAGAGAATAAAAAGAGGAGGAGAGAAATAGGAAGGCATCAAGAATTAGAAAGTAAATTGGAAGGGAGGCTGCTGACCCTCGAAGTCAGTATTTGTGGAGGTGGCTGACCCTCGAAGTCAGTCTTTTGTTTATCATTTTCTGGTTGTACTTTGCATTGTTTTTTCATAGTGTTTGCTTGTTGAATATTGATAGGGTAGGACTATTGGATATAGATTCTATGGATGTATTGTTCTGTTGAGGTTAATATAACAGGGTCTTCTTACTGAACTGTGATTTTGGCTTGTGAGTTGTGGATTGTTTGTTGGTAGTATTGGTTGATTTGTAGGGCAGGTCCTATCAAGTGGTATCAGAGCACTGTGGTCTGGGTAATGGTCTTGACGAGGATGGATTCTAGACTTGATAATGTTGAGAGAGAGGTTACAAAGCTGGGAGTTGAAATGGGTACCATCCGAGAGTGTTTGGTGGAGTTACAATCATGGGTATGACAGAAGAATGAAGAAGAGGCTGGTAGAGCAGAGGTACGTTCAGCAGAAAATGTTCAGTCTCACCATGAAGAAAATGTAAATGGAGCTAATGGATCTAGGAGCAGTAACCAAAACCGCAACGAAATAGGGGGGAGAAAGTTGGAGATGCCAATCTTTTCCGGTGAAGATCCTTACGGATGGACCTTTAAAGTAGAGCGGTACTTCAACATCATGGAATATCAGAGGAAGGAAAGTTGACGGCGGCTGCTTTCTACATGGAGGGAGAAGCTATCAATTGGTTCCAGTAATCCAGAACGCCAGCAAGCTTGTGGGCTATGTTGAAGTTAGCACTACTTCAGAGATTTAGTGGATCCCAAGAACTCAACCCATATGAATCCTTAATGGCGATGAAGCAAACTAGTTCGGTGGTGGAATTCCGTCGTCAGTTTGAAGCAGTAGCAACTCTTTTGGTAGGGGAGAAAGAAGAGATTCTACAAGCTGCCTTTGTGAATGGATTAAAAACAGAGATTAGGGCTAAGGTTAGATTGGTCCAACCAAATTCATTAATCGAAATTATTGAGCTGGCCTAGAGAATTGAAGAAAAAAACCAAGTCTTAGAAGAAGCCCAAGTAGGAGCAAACATGGCCTCACTCACAGTGGGGCCTGGGTTTTCATATGGATCCAGTAGTACAACCCGCTTTGACAGCCACAACCCAACCCGATCTGATATTAATCCCAAATTTCCCAATTCGATAGAATCCCTAAAATCTAACTCAAACTCCTTTTCCCATTTCAGTCGACGGACACCGGAATCTTCCATGTAGGGGTCATCAGCGAATTCCTCCATACGCGAACCATCGACAATGAACTTTCGGCCATTTGAACGACAAGGTTTTCCACGACGCGAGTTTCCCTTTCGTCGGATGATAGATGCCGAGATCCAGAGGAAAAGAGAGAAGGGAATCTGTTTTAGGTGCGACGGGAAATACTCGATTGGGCATAAATGTGGTGAGAAACAATTTCAAATCCTTCTGATTGATGAAGAAGAAAATGACTCAGATCTGATTAGGGGTGGAGAGACTGTTGAAACTGAAATAGGGCAATCGTAGGAAAATGTGGAGCTTTCTCTGAGTTTAGTGGTGGGATTCAGAGTCCAAAGACAATGAAACTCAAAGGAAGAATCCAAGGTAAGGAATGGATTGTGTTGATTGATAGTGGGGCTTCCCACAATTTTATTAGCTCAAAAGTGGTTGAACGATTGGGAATACCAGTGGTAGGGACTCGGTCCTTCGGAGTCAGAGTATGTGATGGATATAGTGTGAGATGTGAAGGGGAATGTAAGGACTTGTGCATGGAGTTACAAGGGGTGACGATTGTTCAAATTTTTTTCCCATTTGATATGAGCAGTGCTGATGTAGTCCTGGGTATTGCATGGCTTAAGACTTTGGACGAGACCATTACGGATTGGCAGAAACAAACTATGAGGTTTACAATGGGACACTAGACAGTCTGTCTATATGGGGATCCATCTCTTAGCAAGACCATGGTATCCCTTAAGGCGATGATTAAGGCGTTACAAAGTGAAGGGCAAGGCTGTTTGATCGAGTTTGGGCAACTACAGACTCAGTGTGAAAATATGGGGAGTATCGATGATAAACTGGGCAACTACAGACTCAGTGTGAAAATATGGGGAGTATCGATGATAAACTACTACAAGTCTTGGGAAAGTTTAGCCAAGTATTCGAACCACTCTCCGGGTTACCACCTGCCAGGTCAAAAGACCATGCTATTCAGCTAGTCCCTGGAACACAGCCACCAAACCTCAGACCATACTAGTACCCTTATTATCAAAAAAATGAGATCGAGAGTTTTGTTAAGAAGATGTTGGCCTCGGGAATTATAAAACCAAGCATCAGCTAGTTGTCCAGCCCTGTTTTATTGGTGAAAAAAAAGGATGGAGGGTGGCGATTCTGTGTTGATTATCGGGCAGTTAATAAGGTGACAATCCCGGATAAATTTTCGATTCCCGTTATCGACGAATTGTTTGATGAGTTACAAGGAGCAACCGTTTTTTCGAAACTCGATTTGAAATCCGAATATCATCAAATCAGAGTGAAACCAGAAGACACACCAAAGACTGCTTTTCGGACACACGATGGGCACTATGAGTTTCTCGTAATGCCTTTTGGCCTTACCAATGCACCAAAAACTTTTCAAGTTATCATGAATGATGTATTCAGGCTGTATTTGAGAAAATTTTTTTTGGTGTTCTTCGATGATATATTGATTTATAGTAAAGAGATGGATGAACATGCGAAGCATTTAAGCATTATTTTGTAGGTGTTATTGGAGAATCAGGTGGTGGTAAATTAGAAGAAGTGTCAATTCGGGCAATTCCAGTTGGAATATCTGGGACATGTCGTGTCAGCTAAGGGTGTGGCAGTTGATCCCACCAAAATAGACAGCATCACTAAATGACTAGAACCATGGGACATCAGGGCTATTAGAGGCTTTCTTGGGCTAACAAGATATTACCGTTGTTTTGTTCGCGATTATGGTAAGATAGCTCTTCCACTCACTGCCCTTTTGAAAAAGGACTCTTTTGTATGGAATCCAGCAGTTCAACGGGCCTTCGAAGAATTAAAAAGAATCATGACCAGTGTCCCTATCCTAAGGATGCCCAATTTCACTCAAGCATTTGTTATCGAGACCGATGCTTCGGGAAGCAGGTTAGGGGTAATGTTGATGCAAGAGGGGAGGCCTATTGCATTTCTTAGCAAATGTTTGTCTATCAATTCCAAACTGAAATCAGCCTATGAGTGGGAATTAATGGCTGTAGTTTGGCTGTGCAAAAATGGCAACATTACCTTTTGGGTCGACGTTTTGTTATCCGGACAGATTAGCGGAGTCTTCATTTCCTAATTGACCAGAAATTATTAAGTGAAAGTTAGCAAAAGTGGGTTATCAAACTATTAGGATTGGATTTCACCATTCAATATAAACCGGGACCACAAAATAAAGCAGCAGACGCTCTTTCCAGGATGCCAGATATAGTCGAGCATCATGCCATTTCTATGGGTTGTTTTTCGGGACTAGACAGTTTCAAGGATGCAATCCAACAAGATGCCAAGTTACGTAAGATTATCCAACAGCTCCTGATTGACCCGAACAGTCACCTTCATTTCAGATTGGTGGGACGCCATCTGTTGTACCATAACATGTTGGTTTTACCTAAATCGGGGCCTCATATCCACCAGATATTACAGGAATTTCACACTTCACCTATTGGGGGCCATTCTAGATTTTTTCGGACATACAAACGAATCTCGAATGTGGTGTTTTGGGAGGGAATGAAGAAGGATATCAAGGCATTTGTAGCTGCCTGCTGCATCTGTCAACAGAATAAGTACGATGCTTTAAGTCCCGCAGGTTTGCTACAACCCTTACCTATCCCTAACCAGGTGTGGGATGATGTTTCTATGGATTTCATTATGGGGTTGCCCAAAGCAAATGGGGTTGACACTATTCTGGTTATCGTCGATCGTTTCACCAAGCATAGCCATTTTGTCACTCTTAAACACCCATATACAGCCAAGATGGTAGCAGACCTGTTTATCAAAGAGGTGGTTAGGTTGCATGGGTTTCCACGAACTATTGTATCCAATCGAGATATGATTTTCATGAGCAATTTTTGGGCCGAATTATTTAAACAGTCTGGGACCCATTTGCACATGAGTTCAGCCTACCATCCGCAGACGGATGGTCAAACAGAAGTGGTCAACCGTTGCTTAGAGACATACCGTGGGTGCTTCGTCAATAGCCACCCACAGCAGTGGCCAAAATGGGTGCCATGGGCAGAATTTTGGTTCAACACCACCTATCATAGCTCCATGGGAATGTGTCACTTTAAAGCTCTCTATGGCCGTGAACCTCCAACAGTGTTATGCTATGCGGACCATACTTGTCCAGTTGAAGATGTTGACCAACAACTTCAGCACCGAAACCATATTATTGAGGAGTTAAAGGCAAATCTTCTAAAGGCTCAAAACCGCATGAAGATGTATGCTGATCGCCGTCGCTAAGAGGTGACATTTGAGATAGGAGAATTTGTATATTTGAAGTTACAACCATATAGATTACGATTCTTATCCCGTCGCTATAATGAGAAGCCGTGCCTGTGGTTTTACGGGCCCTTTGTAATCACGGACAAGATTGGAGCAGTGGCATACAGGCTGGCCCTGCCTTCTTCAGCCCGTATTCACAACGTTTTCCATGTTTCACAACTAAAGAAATCAATGTTCCCTATTCCCAATAGCCAGCCTCTACCGACA